GTGAACTGTTAGTCCCTGAGGATATCACCAGCTGCTTGTGGACTGTTGGTCCCTGAGGATATCACCAGCTGCTTGTGGACTGTTAGTCCCTGAGGATATCACCAGCTCCTTGTGGACTGTTAGTCCCTGAGGATATCACCAGCTCCTTGTGGACTGTTAGTCCCTGAGGATATCACCAGCTCCTTGTGGACTGCTAGTCCTTGATGATATCACCAGCTCCTTGTGGGCTGTTAGTCCCTGAGGAAGGATATCGCCAGCTCCTTGTGGACTGTTAGTCCCTGAGGATATCACCAGCTCCTTGTGGACTGTTAGTCCCTGAGGATATCGCCAGCTCCTTGTGGACTGTTAGTCCCTGAGGATATCGCCAGCTCCTTGTGGACTGTTAGTCCCTGAGGATATCGCCAGCTCCTTGTGGACTGTTAGTCCCTGAGGATATCACTAGGTCCTTGTGGACTGTTAGTCCCTGAGGATATCACCAGCTGCTGGTGGACTGTTAGTCCCTGAGGATATCACCAGCTCCTTGTGGACTGCTAGTCCCTGATGATATCACCAGCTCCTTGTGGACTGTTAGTCCCTGAGGATATCGCCAGCTCCTTGTGGACTGTTAGTCTCTGAGGATATCACCAGCTCCTTGTGGACTGTTAGTCCCTGAGGATATCACCAGCTCCTTGTGGACTGTTAGTCCCTGAGGATATCACCAGCTCCTTGTGGACTGTTAGCCCCTGAGGATATCACCAGCTGCTTGTGGACTGTTAGTCCCCGAGGATATCACCAGCTCCTTGTGGACTGTTAGTCCCCGAGGATATCACCAGCTCCTTGTGGACTGTTAGTCCCTGAGGATATCACCAGCTCCTTGTGGACTGTTAGTCCCTGAGGATATCACCAGCTCCTTGTGGACTGTTGGTCCTTGAGGATAACACCATCTCCTTGTGGACTGTTGGTCCCTGAGGATATCACCAGCTCCTTGTGGACTGTTAGTCCCTGAGGATATCACCAGCTCCTTGTGGACTGTTAGTCCCTGAGGATATCACCAGCTCCTTGTGGACTGTTAGTCCCTGAGGATACCACCAGCTCCTTGTGGACTGTTAGTCCCTGAGGATATCACCAGCTCCTTGTGGACTGTTAGTCCCTGAGGATATCACCAGCTCCTTGTGGACTGTTGGTCCCTGAGGATATCACCAGCTCCTTGTGGACTGTTAGTCCCTGAGGATATCACCAGCACCTTGTGGACTGTTAGTCCCTGAGGATATCACCAATGCTTCGGTACTGACATGAATAGTAACATATTTTTCTAAAATTCCGCGTTGATAAATAAAGAAATTATTAAAAAAAAACAAGGATTCAACCCCCTCAGACAAGGTTGACCGTAGATGAATTTTCCATTTTTTTAGGTTTCTGTTGGTCATATATAGTTCAACTGTTTCTACTTATGTACATATCATATCATTCCATGACTTTCAAATGTTTAGATTTGAGCGTTCTTGATGAAGGTGAATCCATAAAAGCGCTTCAGACACACGCATTTTCATTTGTAAAGTGTTATTTACCAGCACTTGCTAGTTGAATGTTAGTCCCTAAGGGTATCGTCAACCTTGTAGTCAGTGCTTCGGTACTGATATATCTGGTTCATTAGAAAAAAATAATGACTTATAGTTTTGTACGCCAGACGCGCGTTTCGTCTACAAAACAACACTTCATAACATAGTTTTCAAAAAATTCCCCGTTGATAAAAATAATTGTTAAAAAACTAAGGTATCAACTCTCTATGGCAAAATTAAGCTCAGAGGAATTTGATAATTCTTTTAAGGTTCCTGTTGGTTATAGGTAGCTCCTAACGTTCCTTAATATTTTAACATGGCTGGTTTCAAATATTTAGGTTTGGGCATTCTTGATGCAGATAAATCCGGACAAGCGCTTCACACGTACGAAATTTATAAAATGTTATTCTCGTCATCTAAATCATTAAAATTAAAAAGGAAATTGTCTTTATGATACCAGACATCGCCACATGGGTTGTTGTCTCTTTGACACATTTCCCATTTCCATTCTCAATTTTATAAACATTGCTTTATAAAAGGTAAAGGCAAATTAAATGATAAGAAATGGGATTTTTAAAGAAGTTGCATGTACTATAACTCGGTACATGTTTATGTAACGGCTAAAGCTATAAACGTAAAATACGGAATATTTCATTTCCAACAATGTAATATAGCTTTTCATTATAAAAAATGTAACTTAAGGATTGTCAATACAGTCATACAGTCAATAGGCATTTTTTTGCAAGTAAGTTATAGATTGGAAATTGATCAAAAGTTGTTGCAATACTTATTTTTAACGTAAAACTTCCGATTATATCAAACAAATGAATTAACCGAACAATAAAAATACGCTTAATGACTATTGATCACATGATTATGTCTTGTCTCAATAACGCCCTTTTCGATACCAAATATTGTTTACCACAGGTAGCACTGTTGGAACTTATAGAATCTATTTAATCTGACTTAGGTCGATATATCATGATCAACAAGCCTTGTGAAGTGCACTAACCACTTGGTCAAGAAAACTATCTCTCGCTGAGAATACGTCTTTAGAAACGGAAGTTAATAAGTAAGGCATTATGCTGATAGTTTCTAAAGATGTCCGAAATGATGGAACAAACGTTTAAAAGGTCAATAATACGATCTATATCTGTTAACAATTATTTTTCTTAAATAAGAATACAAGAAGTTATGGCGTATACGTCAATGAGACAGCAACCAAACGACGAAAAACATTAAAAAGACAACTACATGTTAACATACGGTCAAGGGTACAAAATGTAAATACAATATGTCAGGTTCTAAATCGATTTCAGCCTATAAAATTAAGAAAGAAGATGCCAAATCAAAACAAAATTCCCTAAATGCCAAGAAAACATCAAAATAATTTAATTGAGAGCGAACACTGGTTAGATTCCTGACACTGGGTAGGCAAATTGACAAATGGCGAGTTTTTGCTTTTAGATTTCAACCTTCCCAATTTTCTTCAATTTTGTCCCCTTTTAATATCCGTCAACGGAATAACACATTAAAAGGTACATACTACAACGTTAAGAAAAAAAAAAACAAGTATACACAACAAGCGCTTACGTGCATACTAAAAAATACCGGTACAAAAGGAAAAATAAAAACCCCAAATTAACATTGATAAAAGAATTACTGACAGAAAGGTCAATATGTTAAATTCGCCTGCTGATATAGAATCATGCCGTCATCCGCTTCTATATCGGTAGTCATTTGTCAAATACAGCAACGTCATGAACATTATGGACATAACACAACTGTACAATACGAAGAAAAAAAATCGGTACAGAATTTAATGCAGAAAAAAAACCAAAATGTACACTAAGTTTTGTTTTAATTACATGCATATATTAGCAAATTATTGACAAAATACAAAAAGATTGAACAGCAACAGAATAAATATAATCTTTTTTATTCAAGTCTATTAAGCCAAAAGGAATGATTTGAAGGACATTTAAGAAACTTGTTTGCTTTATAAATGATATTACAGAAAAGGGATGTTTGTGAAATACCACTTTTTATTTAACTCATGCAAGCAAAATCATATACTGACTCAATATATCTCTATATTTTTTTTCCATAAAATTAAGTGAAAGTTGACCAATTCAATATGACAAATTATGCATATCTGAGTTATACAAGTTTGTAATTATGAAAATATTACGTTTATGGAAATCTAAGACGTCTTTGGAAATACGCGCATTTGAAACTTTTGAAACTTCATAAGGTGGAGCCAACACAACATCGTCACCAAAGAAAGGAAAATTAACCATTGGAAAGAACAAGTCCTCCTATTGGTCATACATTTTGGCAAGGATTTGTATAGTAAGATCTTACTATACAAATCCTTGATTTTGGTAAGAATATTAGATTGGGAAAAACTTATATCAATTTAAAAAAAAACTAATTCACTATAAATAATCACTACGCGCAATTTTCTCATAAGCATAGATGACCAGTATAAAATATACTAAATATGTCTTATTATAGCTTGAATGAAGATTTGTCCGCATAATATATTCATACCAACTGGTCTTCGTATATCATACTCAATTTAATGCGGAAAAGTAACTAAACATTTTAAGTTCAGTATTGTTGTTTACCTGAAAACAAATGCAAAAGACCACGTTTTGTTTCAAGAAGTAACGGCTAACGATTTGTCACATACAAAAATATCATTTAATATACCCAGTCATGTAAAAGTAATTGTACTAACTTTTTTGCAGATTTAGATTCCAAGACTTGGATGGACGAATAATCATGCAGTATATTGTAACTAACATGACGATAACATTTCAGAAGATCGAAAAGTGGTAGTTAAATGAAAAGTAAAAGAGACACGATTTTTTATACGAGACAAATATATTGTAAAAAATGCTGATACATGCCAATTTACCAATAACAAATGAAAAGGAGAACAAGAAAACATTCCACAGCTCGAGTGTAATACTTTCGTCAAAAACTGATTAAGATTTTGGAACGAAAAACCCTTAGGTAGCAATTTTATATGTTTGAAAGTTAGTTTTGATATAGATAATGAAAATCTAATTTCACCAACGGTTTTCTTATTTGAAATTATTCTAATAGGTAAAGACAACCAAAAGAATATATTAATTTTGGTTTCTTTATTTTCATTTTATCTTAGGCGATTGTGTCTTGGTATAAAGACGTTTACATGTGTAGTTTAGTTTGACGTCCATTTTCACTGAACTAGTACACCATTTTATTTAGGGGCCAGCTGAGGACCACCTCCGGGTGCGTGATTTTCTCGCTGCGTTGAAGACCCATTGGTGGCCTTCGGCTGTTGTCTGCTCTTTGGTCGGGTTGTTGTCTCTTTGACATATTCTCCATTTCCATTCTCAATTTTATAGAAAATAAAATTCTAAATAAGAAAAAGTAAACGTAAACGTAAAGCTTTACTGCTAACACACTTACCTTTCTACACATACAGAAACCAGCGATAGAACGGAACAATATAATGACACAACCAAGATATATCTGTTAATTTTACACAACACTCTCCCCAAAAGCCAGCCACGGTTCAGTCTAAATTGGACGATTTCCGGAATACCAAACGACATGATAAGAAGATCGGCGATCGCAAGGTTCATAATGAAAATATTTGTCACAGATTGTCTCATTTTTCTATCTAACAGTATTACACAGATAACTAGAACATTGCCGAAAATTCCTACAAGTCCTATCTGGCAAAATAGGACAGTCAGACCAATAAGTGTCTCTGTTGTGGCTGGCTCCTCCATGTTTATTGATGTCCCGTTCATTGTTATTGCAGCAGAACAGTTTCCGGACTGTTTTGAACACGAAATATTTCCGTCAAAAGAATCAAAATTCGGAACATTGATATTCAATGGTAATAATAGTGTCGAGTTGTTGTCTCCTTGCCAAGCCATCTTGTTGTAAACTGCATCTGTAAAAAGCAATCGTCAATAGAAATGAAGCGATTTTGTAAGACAGCGATGTTAATCGATTTATATTTGTATCTGTAAGTTCCGGTTATCGTTTGTTTATAGAAATTATTGCTTTTATAAACTCGTTCAGTCCAAATTAACTTCACAGTAATTTTCTCTAGGCTAAGATAAACAGTTTACAATAAAAGTAAAAGTTTTCCAAATAAACAATAGTTAATAACATAGCCCTTCACAGTTCTACATTGATAACTTGCATCTGTTTGGCACAAAAATCTACGGAATTATTAACAAATTAACAAATAAAATTTTTGAAAATAAAATGAATTCCAATAGAACTTTTTCAACATAAAGAAAGAAAATAAGACACTAGTCATATCCTAAGTTATTTAAATTTTCTAATAAATCAATAAAAAAAAACTTTTAAGGAGTAATTCAAAAATTAATTGAAACATACTCATTGAGACACTATGCAAATATGTCCTTATTATCTGTATCAATAATCGTCATATACAACATTATCACGTATTACAGCCGGCAGATGCTCCTAGTTGTCAATATTTCTGAAGGTAAAAATTTTAATCCTCTCTTGACTATTGTAAAAAATCTCAACAAAATATATTTATAAAATATATTATATAAATAAACCGCAGATGCCGAGTGTTTGCCCAGCGTAAAACTGTTGAATAGTTCTACTGTAAGTTAATTTGATTGGCGGTCGACCATACTTAACAGTCACACGTAACAGATTGTGGAAGTATTATAGCAAATCTGACACTGCGAGTACGACATTAAAATGCCAGTAATATTTTTCTTAGGTTGATCAATGAATTGATTTCAAGGCATCTTAAGATAAATTCAAGTATCTAAATCCTGTATAAACATTGTTGTTATCTTCATCAACATTTGATTGATAGCTTAAATCATAATTGTTTAAAATATTGATTATTATACTATATCATATCTTTGTTCATCTTGTAAACGTGTAGTTTACTGAAAAGAAAATAAATATCGTACACGAAGGATAAAAGTAAGAAGCCGTATTTTTGTAGAGTTCGTTTTTGCACAAAATTTAAGTTCTTTGTGATGCTTTTATGGAGGTGTTTATCTTTTTTTGTGATGTTGTTAGGGCTTCGACTTGGAAATATTTCTTATCATACTATAAATATGATTCTGGAATTCTCATCAAATTATTTTGTTTAGTGTATTATGCAAAAAAGGTACAGTTTTTAATGTTTTAGGACGATTTCTCCAATATTCCTATGATAATAGATAAAAGTACAATGGCAAAGATCTTATGCTTCCCTTTATGCATTGTTTGATGAAAATAATAGAATCTACATAACAATGCACTGTAATGTGCATTTCATTTCTTTGTTAATTATTTATAGTCAACTGTTGGAAGAAATTGAATTGAAAACCTTGAATTTTCAGAACCCCTATTTACATACATTATTTGTTCTTCGATTAAACAACGTTCGAGATTATCTTCTGTAATTAAATGAAAAATGAAAGTCTAATATAACAATATTAATCATTGGTAGTTGTTCCCATTATATGGTTCAACATTTCGATGGTTGAGAGATACTAACCAGCCAAAACACTGCATTTCAATAGAGACCGAAATCGGCTGGTTTTTTTTACATGATACTAAGTAAAACTAAGTAAAAAAATGTAACGATACATAAAAAAAACTTTCCTAGGTTTTTTTTTAAAGTGCGTCATTTCGATTTCACAACAGTTTTATATTATTAGATCGGTTCAATTTTTACATAGAGGCATTTAAAAAATCTATAGGAAGTCAGGCGAAAAAAAATGGTTAGACCCATACTAAATATAATTGTTAAACACATATGCACTTCCACGATACTACAATCTGTCGATACCTATTATATTTTGGCATTGCACAAGGTCGTGTTTTTCTCGGACAGTTAATGACCTCTTTACACTAAATCCATTCGATGTTGGATGTGTACTGATTGATATTTTTGTCTTAGATACATGATTTTTTTAATTAGTTGTTATTGGCCTTGAACTAGCTGTCACTAACTGCGAGTACTCTCAGATCTGTACTTTGTGTCTTTTTTGTTGTTAGGGATGTATAAATACCCTGACACGTCGAGTCTGTTTTTGTTGGATGTTTTTTCTGTTTGGTATCGATCAGATGAGTTAAGCATTTTTTCAACTGATTTTTATATTATTGTTCTTATGTTGCACTGTCACACCACTGTCCCATGTTAGGGATTGGTTAAGCGCTGACAAACATGTTTAACCCCGCCACATCCTTTATGTGCCTGTCCCAAGTCTATAGTCCGTAGTTCAGTGGTTGATGATGATGTGTTTGGTTCATGTCTGTCATATTTGATTTTCGTAAATTGTTTTGTTATAAATTAGGCCGTTAGTTTTCTCAATTGAATTGTTTCATATTTTTCATGTCGGGGCCTTTTATAGCCGACTATACGGTATGGGGTTTTCTCAATGTTGAAGGCCGTACGGTTGCCTATAATTGCTTAAAACCACTTCATTTGAACTTTGGCGGATAGTAGTTTCATTGGCAGTCATACCACATCTCCTTATGTTTATACTGATTACTAATTTGAATGAAGAACAGATTTACATGAATTGCAGTTGAAATATTATCATACAGTTTTAGTTTTCCTCTTTGGTTACGACGGCGTTAATGTAGAAATGTTTATAAATATAGTTACATTTGAAGCTGTCTGAATTTTTCCCGCAAGAAATATATTATTATATGATACCTATAATATTACCAGACTACTACTTCTTCTACTAGAGCGTTTGACTGCCCATGTGAGTGTCTATGACGATGTGTACAGATATGCAGTAAAAAAAAATAAGGTCGGACTAATTATGTGCCAGTTTGAAGAGGGAGTAACTCTCTTTTCCTTAATCTTTTGTTGGCCTTATATAATGTGAAAATTATGTCCGTAAGTGATTATATATAGATTATGGATATTTTCATAATTTTCTTTGATAGTTTAAACACTATAGATTTTAAGATGAAAATAATGATCATTGACATAACATAAAATACGGTTGATTTCTTCAAGATGCCATTCAACTAATTTCTTTATTTTGAAAGTACGTTAAAGAGTATTATTCTGACTTTTCTGAATAGAAACATTTAATATGAAGTCAGTGTACTGATTGTAGTTCATACAGAGGCAGACAAACATGGGATTTAAACAATTATCGAAAACGCATGTAATCGAACGAATGAGGTCAGCTGTTCCGACAGGTAGGCATTTCCTGCTATTCTAGCATAAACCGTAATGCAAATATAATTCAAATCCCAAATATGTTTGAGTTAATGAATACGCTATATTCATGTGAAATAACCAGAGAATGAGAATAAACTGCGACAGTGTCATGTAGTATACGTAAACGGCATTGTTTGATGCGGACGGCATATATATTACTATGTAATACAATTATTTGGAAAATGACTGTATGGAACTTAAAGTATTGCGTCTGTCCTTAATCATAGTGTCAATTCCACCTTTAAAGGTCAAGATATGAAGCAGGCCTTTTTTGTTTTGTAGTATCATTAATTCATAGTTGTTAGTGATGCGAGTAAGTGGATATATATAGTCACTGAAATGTGGATTATCTATTGAGTAAAACAACATGAATATATGTTGAGATGTGGATGTGTAGTTGAAAAACTTTATTTGACATTGAATCTTCCTGTTTTCAGAATTTTTTGTTGTAAATAACAATTCAGCCTAGTAGTGAATGTATAAAAATCTGAAAGGAGACAAATGGGATGAAAGGCAAACTAAACAACTAAACACCAACTAAACACCAAAAAAACAAAAATATAAACAAATATGTTCAATGAAAACAGAACAGTTCTTTTATAATACTGATTCCAAAATGACCAACAAACAACATACCAAAGGTCATAATAGTAAGTTGTAAAATGATAAAGTTAATAATGAATATAGTCTGTAATGAATACCCAAACTAAACCCAACATTGGAGCATAAACTGATCGAAAGCTATTTGATTTTTTTCTTTAATAATGATTATAAAATAGATTATTCAAGAAAAAGAATTGACACATTCTATCTTTTACACAGTCATAGAAATTTCGGACCATCTTCTTGTTTTCTTCGAGATAAAAAGAAAATTTCATGATTAAGACCTCGCGTAAATTGAATTTTTCAATCATACAAGTTATTCTGTATTGCACTAGTAAAATTATCTTTCCCATAAGATAAAATACGACTAATCTCGTATTGCAGTCTTTTTTTACTGCTATTAACCAGCAGAATGGCTAGACAAAATAAGAATCCAACTAATGTTACGCAACAAGGACAACAACTTTAATAACATCCTTAATTATACCTTTAGATATTTATATAAAGATTGCTCTCAACTTGGTGTTCTACAAATACTAAGGGATAATGCATTCATTCTCCAGAATCTTTATAGAAAAGTTTTACAAGAAAGACGTTTCAATATGTCAAAACTTATTAAAGATTAAAAGATCTTTTTTTCTTTCTTTTCTTTTATGGCGATGGTCCCTTTTATTTCTCTTATGATATTCATATTTTGCTATGCACGTGCTTGTAAAAGTTTCTGTAATTTTGATACAGCCTTTTATGTATACTAAGTCATATAATCCAAACTCTTATTGAATTGTGGTAAAATAAACGAGTGTTGTATGAAATTATGATTTAAACGAAGTCGGCATTGATGACCCTGTTTTATGGCAGGCACGTGCAATTACTCTGGCAACGCAAACACTTTGAGGAGCGTTCATTGGCTCTTGCTCTTGATTATACATGAAGTTAACAATTCATATAGAATTTTATTATTCGTATCAGTTCTGTAATTAACACTTGAATATGATTAAAATATTTGCTTTTTTCTATTCTATATTTGAAAATTTTGACTTCTTTATAATTGACAATGCACTACATTGTGATTTCTTACACAGTGCATAACGTTGCTACATGAAAGTTATTGA